TAAAATCGTCTGGGAATTGAGCCACGCTCATAGGAATTGAATGCTGTTATTCCCTACCCAATGAAAACCAGATACTGACATGAAGACAATTTGTTCTATCCGCTGGAGGTGCGCTCTCGGGGAAATATCCAATTTTGGTCACACACAGCATTGCACTAACTATAATTGTATCATATAAGGATTAAGAGTTCACCGCGATTGGAATGCGCCACGCATTCTAATTTTATCAGAGTCGTACTGGCAGTTGGATGTGATTTGACCACCTTGACTTCTCGGGTTAGGCAACATAAAAAGTTAGGGGTCTTTAGCTTGCCATTCAAATCCTGTACTAATTAACGGACATGAGAGACATGGAACGTTGTTGGTTAGACGGGGTTCAAGCCAAGATTTGGCTCCGGATCGCTCATGTGGTAAGTGGCGCCACTTGTTCATACACTATTTCTCCCACGGGTAGTAAATATTGTAAACTAACAAACTAACATTACCCATGATTATTCACGGTATCACACCGGCCGGGTAAAAGTGTAGTAGGGGTTACTCAATTGAGCTCCGCGTCCCTGCGTCCCCCTAACACCAGGAATAAGATAAGAGCGTCGATAACACGCAATCTTCCCATCTGAAGTAGTAAGTTGTCGATGACGACCGGCGAAGTGGGGAACTACTCTAAAGGTGCTTTCATATTGCGTGTCGTACGGTCATTCGATGTTTGCCGCTGACTTTGCCTCCGTGGAAAATTTCGGAAAAACTCAGCATGTACTGTGCTATATCCTCAGCAGAAACTCAGCACCGACGCAGAGCACCTCCTTCACCGGCATTTTACTTCAGGAAGCCGAGCCGGTTCTCTGGGTCTACTGGATGTGTGAAGCATTCCAAAGGTCAATCCGCTTCCAGCTTTTTGCACTATTCCATTTGCGGTTGACGAGCAGTCGAACGATTCAGTATATCTGGGCTGATGGATATCCTAGACAGAAGAAAAAATGTCCTCTTCAATGGGGGACTTTCTCGCCTTAGCTGCCGAAAAGATAGGATCACCCACATGGAAAGCGGTTATATGTATAATATTTATTTCAAGGCCCTTATATGGTTCCTTGGACCTATTTTTCCGACGACTCGTTGGCCATCGAACTTTATGCCAGAGATGGAATTTCCTTTTCGTGGCCGTTGGATATTGCTAATTCATTATGCGGTGCTATTGTCATTTCACAAGGACCTCAGCAAAGGGTGAGGCGTTGAATAGCAACGAGAGCTATTACGCACGCATCACGCTCACTTACGCATGCTCATCCGTTCACTCCAGTGGGACACCTCCGTCTAGTCGGCCGAACCCTTCTTTTGATTTTATGATTTTTGATAGTTATGATTTATGATTCATTATCGGTGTTTAATACAATCAACAAGTAGAACATAGTTAATAACAATTAACCGATAGAATAATCGAAGAGAAGAAAAAAAATTGAAGTAAATTAAAACCTAAGCAGTTCTGAGGGGGAGAAGGAGAAGGGAGGAGGTGGAACGCTTGGCTTCGAAGAGCAGTGGCCCGCCAACACTGCAAGTCGCGAGAGTGATATGCGGCTCCGGATACCAGCTTGTAGGTCCGGCAGACTTGCCAAGGCTCCACCTATAAACGACGGAGGTTAATAATTTTACTTTGAGCACTCAGAATCAAGGGCTACTCAATGTATACAATCCATTGCGTATAGCATAACAAAATTCATAAAGAAACCTAATGTTAGCAACAAAATACATTCGGTTCACCAGAGTTGCGTGCATAGGAGGGGATCAGCAATCAAAAGAGGAGAAGAAGAGGTAGATGCTGTAAGGAATTGTTCTCAAGAACAGTTACCTACAACACTTTTCACAATCCTGCAACTGTTCCTGAGCTAGAAACCCATCTGACAACGAAATCAGATCTAGTGCCAGCCCTGATTTTTGAGTATTCGGCTTATCCTTTTTTTAAAGGACGTAGATGTCATTGAGCCTACTACTTCGGCTGGTAAGCTGTTCCAAAATGAGATAACTCTCTGCGAAAAGCTATTTTTAAACGCTGATGAATGGGCCTTCTCTTTCAAGAGCTTGAAGCAATGCCCTCGTGTCCTTCCTATAGTTGCAGATTTCTTAAAAAGCAGATCGAACTCTATATCAATCTCCCCTTTGGAAAGTTTGTAAACGGCGTCGTAATCCATAACCTTTCTCCTCATCTCAAGCGTTGTCGCCCCTAGATAACTGAGCCGATCTTCATATTGAATGTGGAAAAGACCCGCTCTTGCAAAAATCCTCTCTGTGAATTTGACCTGAACTTGTTCTATTTGGCCAACTAGCACCTGAGTATATGGCGACCATATTGGCGAACATTACTCCAAGAGAGAGACCTAGGACGCGTAAGCTGTGTAAAGTGCGAAAAGAGTTTTTATATGCCTGCTGGAGAAGGCGCGAAGGATGAGGTTACAGCGCGATCTGGCTGAATTTATAATGCCTTTTACGTATTCATCAAAAGATAGTGATCTGTCATACTTTAGGCCAAGATCCCTTATAAGCTGGGGCTCTGCAATTGGGGAGCTGCCCAGTAAGAATTTGCTGCAATCGGAAACAGATCCTATTTTCATAATGTAAGATTTTTCAGCAGATATTTTCAAACCCCATACGGTTGACCACCGCTGCAAAGCGCTAAGAAAGCTGCAGGTTATGCGGCTCATCAATGCAAAACAACTTAACATCATCCGCATACATAGTGCAGTTAACTGATTCTGGCAAGTATTGCGGAAGGTCATTTATGTACATAAGAAACATCAGCGGCCCCAAACATGTGCCCTGAGGCACTCCGCTAGGCGTTTCATAAGGTTCTGAAAGAGCTGCGTTGATCTTCACTACTTGCTTTCTCGAAGGACAAAAATGACACTAGAAACCTCAGCAGGGCACCTGAAATTCCGTATATTTTTTTAAAAACAAGAGATTCAAGCGGAACTGAGCATCACAAAATGCTTTCTTAAAATCAATATATGCTACGAAGTACAGGATTTCTTCCTATCGATTGCTTTTTGCCACAATGGGATAGTAGCCATTAGGGCACTGAAACACGACTTGTTAGGCAGAAATCCGTGTTGGCATTTAGATATGAGGCGATTCCGAGCGAGGTATTCCTTAATGCGCGAGCATACAATTCTTTCCATTACTTTACTGACACAAGAGGTCAAACAAATAGGCCTGTAATTCCGATGATCCGTTTTAGAGCCTTTCTTGTGGATGGGCTTAACCCAGCCCAGGCGCCAAATCTCATGGAACATCACCCTTTATAAGAATACTGTTAAACCCACACAAAACAAAATAGTCAGGGAGCGGGCAAGCCCTAAGCAGCTTTGCGGAGGAAAATATAGAGGCAGCATATCCGGCGTGGTAGAGGACCGTAAGGGTAATTTCTTCAGTGTTCGGTAAACGTCCTCGCTATTAATGTCAATCCAATCGAGAGTGCAATCATTTTGATTAGGTTCGGAGATATTTTCTGTCAAATTCGAGGTATAGAATGTTCGAAAGTAGTCCGCGAAGATTTTGGCTTTATCGGAATCGAGAGTACACTCCTCGTTGTTTTCATTCATAATTATGCCTATGCTAGAAGTATCCTTCAGCCTAGTAGACAGTACTTCCAAAATCTTTTAGGATTTTTGGATAACGCTATTTTCGTTTCATATCTCTCTTTGATTTTTTCTAGTTTCCTCTTCAGCGTTCTGACAGCCTTCAAATAGTCCGAGTTTCGAAGTCCTAAACCGTTTCTGTACAGTCGTGCTACACGTTTTTTCAAAAATGAAATCTGGTAAGGTTCTTTCCTCGAACATGACTTGCTCGGAAGCAAGGGCACGAATTCCTTTATCAGACCATGACAGAAACCAGACAACGCATCGTAGCATTGGCTGGAGTTTCGAAAGAGTCGAAAAATATTTGCCCAGTTGCACAGCAACTAGTTGTTTACAAATGTTTTCGTAATCTCCATGGCCAAAATCTTTCAGCGCTTTGGCGCGGAAAGTACAAGGCTTAACACCCACCAATGTGAATGAGACAGAAGCATGGTCGGATGTAGAGAATGGGGGCCCTACTGCTACATTAGCAAGGAGAGCAGAGTGGTTCGAAAAAACTAGGTCAAGTATATTTTTATCATGTGTTGGGGAACTAACATACTGTGAAAAGTTGTGCGATTTTGCAAAGTTGTAGAGGAGTGTGCCCATAGTACAGTTTGGTACCTTGGTGTCAGGAATATGAGGAGATCCCCAAGAAATGCCGGGAAGATTAAAATCTCCAACGATTATTACGGGGGTGCTTCCTTGGCTTAATTCCTCCAAGTAATCAATAAAAGATCGGAAGTCGTCAACTGTGGAAGAAGGACTGCGGTAAAACGATCCAAATGAGTTCAAGCGGTGGCTTCGGTAATTCGAAAAGCAAGGCACTGAATGTAAGGCGAGAAATTCAAGGCGGATATCATGACTGAAGAAATGGAATTGTGAAGGAGAGCGAGGACCCCACCTCCCATCATGTCACCCTCACGATCACAGCGAAAAATGGGCTGTAGGGAGATTTGCAGGATTTAGTGAGTATGTATAAGACTGGTTTGCACATTGAACGCCAGTGATGAGATTCCTTTGGGGTTGGATAATAAGAGGTCATAGAGCTCAGGTAATTTATTGTTTACTGAACGCGCATTGATCAAAATAAAACAATCGCGAAAATCAGGGGGCTGTCTCGTAGGTTTGGTATCAAGATGGGGAAGGGCCTGATCCTAGAAGCTAGGGCCTGGAAGTGAATGCCTGCTCTCCAGTGCTGAGAGAATCAGAGTCCCGTCGCATCGAAATCGTCCCCCGAGAGGCGGGGCCGAAGTCCAACTGCATCTTTCGCTGGATTCAGACGTCACTTTAGAAGGGATGGCGGATCGAACAGGTAGCTCTCTTGGATTTTTGAGTTCGTGGATTTCCAAGTCACGTACCAGGAAAGCGAGCTTTCCCGCCTTCTTTCTTTTGACTTTCCATCTCCTCTGATCATAATTGTGAACCCTTTTTCAAATCTGCAACGCAACGCGCAATTTCGCAAACTGAAAAAAAGGTTTTGGGTCAAATTTGGTCCTTCCATGCACTACCTCGAAATCCCTTAGATGATTCCACTGTCCCGCTTGCTGAGAGAAGCACGCTTTTTTGCTTGCAATGAGTTTTTAACGAAAAAAAATTATTCTAAAAAAAACACACAACAACAGCAACTGATTGAGCAGTAAACAACACATGAACAACGACTTGTGCCCGTATGCTATGCTTCCCCGAAGCTAGGTGATCCAAAGTTTCCTTTAAATTTATTTGTTTTGAACGATATAGTTTCTTCATTTTCAGTGCATGTTTACTTTACCTACATACATACATTAAATGTAGGCCCTTTATCAGGGCAATCCCAGTTGGGAAGACAGAGAAAATTTAAAGGATTTTCGTCCCCAACCCCTTCGGGGAGCATAGCATACGGCCCTTGAACAATGCTCACCCCACACTGTTAGCGCTCACTTACCAATCCGTTTCATCTCCGGACGGCATTACCAATGGAACTTTTTGGCATTTGGATGAGGTGCAATATGCATGTGTTGCGCGGATTTTGGTTGTAGAGTGACCTCCATTCCGGGATGATTCTTTCCTAACAAGCACATGACAGGGAACAGCGCATACTTCCGTGAAGAGTTCTAGTTTTCCTATGTTGTTAATGAAGAACTCAAATGCGCCGTACTCCATTTTCTAGAAGTTACTATCATTTTCATACGCGCTCTCGATTCTACAGGAAAGACTAACCATGTATTCGCCGCAGTTTCGTAGTGATTCGCCTTCCTGACCCTCAACCTCCTGTGGTTTTGAAGTCATCCTCCGTCTAGAATTTTGCTATCCTTTCTCACACCTGCTTTTCATAATGGGAACTACCTTGTGTTTATGTTTTTCAAGGTTCTTGCTCTTGCCTACAATTATCCCCCAAACAACTCATTGCACCAGAGTTGTGAGAGCATCAGTGCTGAATAAGGACCCTTCAGTCTTGTGGGTAAATCAGTTTAGTTACTCTTGATTAATTACAGGGATTTATATTATTTCGATTCTCGCGAAGACGACTTCTCAAGTATATGTGGTTGGTTTTACAAATGCACGTTTTACGGAGTTCTGCGCACAGAACAATGAAGGTAGAGGCCACCGAAGGAGCGGGCTCCAGTTACCTCC